AATGAAATCCTATTTAAAATCCAAATATAATATGAACTGCTAATGTTTCTGGTAAAGAAACACACTAATGTTATGGATTCAAAAACAACCAAAATCACGATGCTAACAAAGTGAATGATTTCCTGGTGATACTGCTCTTACCTGTCAGTGCTTAGATATTATCACGCTGAAAAAATGAATACAGAATTCCAACAAACTGTCATCAAATGTCTTTCTATTCTAAATTTAGATGAAATGTATATCCCTATAATGACCTAAATAATAAAGTCTATGGCTTTTACTCCTTTACCAGGCTAGTTACATGATGTTGTCTAAATTAAATTCTGTCTCAATACACTACTATGTTTTAGCTTTAACTGTAATATGTTCTTTCTACATTTCAAACCTCAGTTACTCTAATGTCTGTTAAAATATTACAAAATTGTTTCATTATCACAGGTCAACTTCTTCGGTTTCACAGTAGCCCCTTGGCCACTGCTTCTTTGTTACCTGCTATAATTCAAATCAATATTTAGAAACATCTCAACATTCATCAAACAGTATCTTATCCCCAGATATGGAGCAGGTTAATTACATTCAATGCTCAGTTTGAACATCTGGGTTGGGGCGGAAGGTTTCTGTCAATCCTTAAAAGAAAAATTTAAATTGTGAATTTTACAGCCATGTTGACATTTATACAATATACACACTCCCCCCTTTTTACACATGAAATCATGTGTAACAAAACCCTGTAATGGGAGGGGAACAAAAACTGTCAGGTAATTGGTTAGGGACATAACGAACATTATTTACAATTTGACATCCATTATCATTATTTCCACAGTAAACACTTCAGTGAAAAGAAGTGTTCCTCTCCGTCCTTCAGGCCTAAAATAAACAGAATCTTCAGATTTTAGTTTCACATTTGCAAACCGCCAACTCATGTCAGAGGAAAATATCACATGTGCGGTTTCCCCTTTTTGTGGAATTTTTAGGAAACCTCTCGTTTCCCTTGGAGCTCCAAAATAATATGTTAGTCCAAAAACATGCTTGGTTGGTTATTGTTTTAGAATCATGCAGTTACACTGATCACATGCCGGCATTCATTCACACTCACACTGTCTGGTTGTCATGTCAAGTTTGGTCAGGTCCACCCCAGAGTCAGTCATCCACAGTGCCTTGTGAAGTTACACTGTCGGTCAGGGTCAAAGGTCAGTTGGTCTCCGTCTTTTTTGGCCATGTGTCGTGCTCTGCAGAGACTTTGACATTTCAGCATAGGCCAGTATCCTTTGTCTACAAAAATATGTCACGATTTCAACTATGATTTTCAAGATGATTCTCACTTGTCATTGGGACTTCCGCCTCCCACTTTTCCTGAAACTTGGTACAAAACTCACTTCCTTCGAGTACTACTACTACTGCAATCCATTTACACCTAAATAGTATTAAAATGTCTAATGAGCTATTTCAGAAACTTGTGTACAATAACTATTATCTTGAGTCCAAACATTACTAGGATCTGTGTCGCTCTGCATTTCATAGCTCATTATAATTCTGGTCTACTTAAAAAACAATGATAAACTCTTTAGCAGTGTGTGGAACCTTGGGTGTCCGAACATGCAACAATTACTCCCTCCTTTATCAAGGATTTAAACCTATGGTAATAACTATGCTACAATGGTGAAATCAACACTTTAGATTGGAATGTTATATGTGACTTGGCACCAGCTCCCTCTTTAACATTATTAATACAAATAAAGATTTGTCTTATAGAGTGGTTCCTAAAACTATCCTTTTAATGGTGATCAATATTGTAACCAATGAGATCACTACTTTATTCACACGTGAATAAAAATGTCTTAAAGAATGATTTGTTAACATGATGAAAATATTTAAGAATATGGTTCTACTCTGTCAGTGTGTTTTAGGATGATTATCATGTTACTTTAATAGTTTCCTCTTTACTGCTATTTTTAATTTACCAAATGATTAATAAATCTTTCTGTCTTTACGTATTTATGAAGTTAATTCAAGTTATTTAAATGTGCGTTTCGTGAATAAGTGTGTTTATGTGTAACTCACTCATTCCCGTTCTCCTTTCCTCCTCCCCTGGTTTTTTCAAGCCGTGACCCCGGCCTCCTCACTTCTAATCGACCATGCCAACTCCTCTGATTCTGTCTTCTCTTCAGTCCATCAGCTGTTGAATCCATCCACTGTAACTTTTTTAGGCAGCCATTGGCCCAGTTACATCCGCAGCCCCATCATGCCACTGTTGTTGCACTCCTCCTTTACAGTCTCTCTGCTGTTTTTATGGAGGGCGGATTCTGCTCTCATGTCTATCGTGCCAAATCTCGCGGCGCAGTTTGGAACTTCATGTCCTGTTTGAGGGACCGATGAGAGTTTGCCTCTTTGTCAGCATGCTGGTTTGGTTCTGGATGCCACAGGTGGAGATAGTTCTGGCTGCAGTCTTGATGTAGTCTTGTTGTTGTTGTTGGTTCAGCTCTGGTTCTCTGTCTGTACGATGGAGAAGGAGGAGTCTCCTGTTGGGTTAGGTCTTTTTGTCTGCTTGGAGGGTCGGGATCAAAGCCTTTCTAACTCAGAGGGGGAGTCCAGGTCCCGGTACACATTACCTATAAGAAGTCTAGCACACTGATGTTAAATAAATCCAACCCTTTCCACTCTGTCTCTTTCTAATCATACTATCTGTCTTAGTTGTTAAATGCCATCTAAACAACATAATTAATGTCTACTAATGATATTACAAAAACTCACTCCAAAAATTGTTTCATCCATTGTTACATATTTACCCAACACAACTCTGAAATACTTACATGTTTCCAGCATCACATATTCCACACACTATGAAAGAACATTCTCCATATCTTCTCTCATTTTAAATCCCACTGTTACTTCGAACAATAGTAAACCTGCAGAGCACACCAATCGGATCACAGTAATGAAATTTGAATCAAGTGTAGGCCTATGTCTTCTTTCTGAACATTTATTTATATTGTCTAAATTTGCAAACAGTTCGAGTGTAAAATGTGTTTTGCACAATGTATTTACACTCTACAGATTCTTGAGTTTACTCATCTCCTGGTGCTGTCGTTGTAAAAAATGTTCAATTCCTTATTGTTTTGTACCAGTTGTTCTAATTAATATACTGGGCTATTGTCGTTGTTTCTATTAACGTGCTTCCCGTCTTCAATACCGGCCAGCAATGTAATGACTAAACTCTAAGCTCGAAAAATGTCCAGGGTGTGATACCCCCTTTCAGCCGCTTGATGGCAGCAGCAGAAGTTTCAAGGGTGTGATACCCCCTTTCAGCCACTAGATGGCAGCAGCAGAAGTTTACAGACAAAGGGAAACGCTCTCCCTCGATTTAACATATAACAGAGCTCTGGCTTTTAGCTTTCAGCCTTGGTCTGTTATTTAACCCCAGTTTTAAACGGCAACCCGATCTGATATATCGAGTTTCCAGGTTTTGTCGTGCAGGAATCAAACCTCGCATCCAAACAAACTGCACCGTCTCCACGCCACTCAGGAATAAACTACCTGCAGATCCGCGGCAAACTGCTCTATTTACGTCACGCAGGACTTTCCGTCTACCTGGCGATCAACGTTTACGTTTTGTATATAACTTTCCGAACATAGTAAAATATGCATTGTATATTCCATTTAAACTTTAAAAACACTGTGAAACGCCTACAGACAATCCTAAAGTTTTAGCGTATCCAATTACAGACAGTCGAATTTCATAACGTCTGCGTACCTTATTTGCAGAGTTGCAGAGTCCTGCCGATTGTCTGAGATGTTTGAAAGCGTCTGAATTCTTCCTCAGCTTCGTTATATCTGGACGTCGAGGTCACCATTTTGTTAGAGATTTCAAGGGATATCTAGTCCGCTTTTCAAATCTCCGCGCGTCCCTATCAAGCTGGTTAATACAGGAAGGAATCCAGAGCTACCAAATAACCGTTACTTTAATGATAATATGACAATACAAATACAATCAATACAGTACAAATTCAACACAGTTAATCCCTGGGATCCCAAATTTACCTGCACGTGAGCCAGCCAGAGGAAAGAGGCTGAACACCGCGTGTGTGTCTGTTTATACTATTTGACAATGGGAGGAGTTATCAGATCCTCCCATTTGGAGCTCATTGATTGGCCGCCCAAATATCACAGACACCTCCGACCTTAGGTTTCCCCAACCACTGTAGCCAGATAAGTTGAATGCAAATCAGGACATGCTCTCACCTTCCCCCATCTTCCTTTGTCCTAAAAAAACATGTCAACAGGCCCCATATCCAGCTCACAGTTTTACCCAAATTATTCCCATTTTAAGCTTATCCATAGTTTGCTAACATGAATAAATACAAATATAACTCTACACAGTCCACAGTAAGACACATTGTCTATAAATGGAGAAAGTTCAGCACTGTTGCTACTCTCCCTAGGAGTGGCCGTCCTGTAAAGATGACTGCAAGAGCACAGCGCAGAATGCTCAATGAGGTGAAGAAGAGTCCTAGAGTGTCAGCTAGAGACTTAAAGAAATCTCTGGCACATGCTAACATCTCTGTTGACGAATCTACGATACGTAAAACACTGAACAAGAATGGAGTTCATGGGAGGACACCACGGAGGAAGCCACTGCTGTCCAGAAAAAACATTGCTGCACGTTTGAAGTTTGCAAAAGAGCACCTGGATGTTCCACAGCACTACTGGCAACATATTCTGTGGACAAATGAAACCAAAGTTGAGTTGTTTGGAAGGAACACACAACGCTATGTGTGGAGAATCCAAAGGGTTCTTGCAACTGTATATAAGACAGGTCAAACCAACATGCCAAATATGCATAACTTTGACTTGTTGACTAATATATGTATGGCTGAAGCTGCAGTTGTTACCTACACACAGGACTTCAAATGCTCCAAGTTCTCCCAGTTTTCCCTCCTCTCTTCTCTATTCATCAGTGTGTTTTCTCTTTTTGATGGTCTCTTCCTCCCTTCTGTCCACAGCTGCTTCCTGTCGCTGCTCCTCGTGGCCGCTGTGGTTTGGAAGATCAAACAGAGCTGCTGGGCGTCACGGCGACGAGAGGTAAGTCAGACTCAACCTACGTAAAAACAAATATTGATTTTGGATACTCTAGGTCAGGGTGTCAAAATCAAGGCCCGGGGGCCAAATCCGGACCGTGACTTCATTTTATGTGGCCCCACAAGAGCTTGCAAAGAATATAATGTTTGTAATACGGTTACATGCCGATTTACAGAAGCTCGTTGCCCATAAACTGTCCCACAATGCATCTCAAATGTGACTTTTTTTTATCAGAATGTGACTTTTTTTTCTTCAAAATATACCTTTTTTCTTAGAATTTGCATTTTTCTCCAAATCTGACTTTTTTTTTCAAAATGTTTTTTTTTTTTTTTAAATGTCACTTGTTTTTTTATGTTGGCTTTTTTTTCTCCAGAATTTGGCTTTTCTTTTTAAATCATTTTGTGACATTGACACTGAAGAGACTTGCAATTATTGGCCCTAGACTTCTGATTTCAGACGTAGTTAATTATGAAGTTATTACCCTATCCGATAATCATCCAATGCAGGGGCAATAATGTAATATAATACATTATTTTATATATGTTACATATTTATATACAGTATGTATTTTTATATAGTCTTATATATAAAACTGGCCCTTGAGTGCAACCATGATGCTAATGTGGCCCGAGATGAAATTGAGTTTGACACCCCTGCTCTAGGTAAATGGACAACCACCAGGACACAGTTGGTGTTCAGATGTGTTGAAGCTTGACGTTTTTAGTCAATGAATAAAGAATAATTTGCACAGGTTTCACTCCTGGCAGTATAAAAATACTCCAGAACTCAGAGGGCCCTGCATCACATCACACATGTATTCCTGCAATAACGTTACAATATTAGTTACTAAGACAGTGATAGAAGCGTAATCATTGCGATGACTTTAGCCTGAACTGAATTGGAAACCCATGAACTTTAATAACCAAGGCACATTTTCAGAAAACTGTTTTAGTTCGCTTTTTTCTTAGAGACCCCTTTTGTCGTGACGCTGCAAGATGCATTGTCACTTTGTCTTCTTCTGAATGTGTTTCATGCCTTACATGGATGCAGAAAGTGTGATTTTTCATTTCACACATCTCTATGTAGAGGTTCTTATTATTATAAATCATCCCCTGCTGAATGCGTCTCCACTCTAGTGCTGAAAATTGACACTTTACAAATGTTGTGCCATTCAAAATGTCATTTTTTAAATTCAAAACCATTGAAAAATGATATTACATTAGTGGTCTACCTTCTGTATTTAAAAAAAGCTCTTGATGTTATGAGTTGTAAATGGCCCAAAAAACAGTGATAAAATATTCAGATTCAGTCTCTTTATCTGAACAGAGTTAAATGACTCTCGTCAAGCATGCAAATAGTCGTATTTTCCAAATTCTTGACTATTATCTTTTTATTTATGCGATGAAATAGTCTGGTTAGGCAGGGTCAATTTCTGTAACTGAAGAAAGAATATGTAAATTTAGATTTCTGGGTCCGATTGATAAATAGTTAATTACATCAATTGCTTTTTGTACGTCACACAATTAACTCCAATTGAACAGAGATGAGTCAATGTTTTAATTTCTGGAGCAAAGACCCAATGCATTGGCTTAGCATTGTGGGAACAGAGCATACACCTTTAATGTATTCACTTTAGTCCTTTTTTTCCTTTATTTGAAGTGCAGCCATTTTCTGACAGACTGGTACTGAGGGACTCGCTCTGATGTTTTTCAGAGAAGAAAGAAAACAAATCTTAAATTACATAAACTGCAGTCCATTCATCATAGAACAGCATACATCCTGAGCAGGATGCAGGCTCACCTCAAATTATTGTCTGTTTTAATGAAATTGTTAGGATTTTGTTAATTGGCTTGTCAAACCATTTAGCAGAATTTTCCTTTAATGCACTCGTTTTAAAAAGAAAATATGTACCTTTTTAGACATTGCAAACTTTCAATAAATGCAGAGGAAGAGCAATTTAATTCAAAACCTTAGGATGTGTTTATGGATAAACAAACTCAGCATTTCCTTTTGAGCTGTCATTCATTGACAGGAAATAACTGACGTGCAGTGACTGTTATTAATTGTTCTTATGGCTCAGCACAAGGTGTCTTTCAAGCCGCATGGAGTAAACTGAAAACAAGTTAGAAAAAGGACTGAAGACAAGAGGCCAAAGCAATCTGCCAAACTGTGGGGAGAACTGCGGGGGGCACAAAAGATTCAAAATGACAAAAGTAAATTGAGGAAAAGTCATACATCAAGTTGTCTGTATCATAGGAAACAACAGGAAACTAGCTTGTGAGATATTTTGATGCACTGGAGGATTTAAGCTGTGGTGATGTTAACCTACTTTTTAAAGGCACACACACACACATTAAAATTGCTGACGGACAGGAAGCAGGCGTCCTGACAAACTCCCGTGTGATTGGTTTATTCCTCCTAAGGTGACAGCAGCCACAACAGATTTTCTCAGTTTATGATTGTATTTCTGTCATTGTCTAGATGGCATTTCACTTTGTAAAGAAAGTAGGACAAGCTATCATTATATTGATGATATGGCATGTTAAGCTGGTGGACAAATTTTGTCTATATAATATTGTTTGCAACATTTGAATTAAACAAATGGATAACAACTATTACACAGTGCAGAAAGAGACATGCAACACACTGAGCTTATCTGAAGTGTCCAGCTAAATAATATACATTACACAGTGCTATAGTATAGTGAACAAAATATAGTAATATTACCTCAGGCTCAATTAAAAACACAGCAAAATAAGTTTTGATAATTGACACTTTGATCTGATTATAACTAGGCTAGCATGTTGCAGCTGGTCTGCTAATTTAAATGATGTTGAAGCAAATATTGTGAGTGCAGTTTTACATCTAGAATAGACTCTCCCTAAAATTACAAAATACATTTTCATAGTTAGTTTCTGGAGGGGTTTGAACCACCTTTTGCATAAGTGCCTGAAAGGTTGTGTGCATGTGGGAGTGTGTGTGTAACTCTGTGTGTTTCTGAGATCCTAGCTGTTGTTGTGTTTGATTTGACATTTTGGTTTGTGCTTTTCACACTTGGCGCGCCAGATGAAGTGGCTTTCATAACATCCCTCTGCCCCTTCTCCACCCTCTCTCCATTAAAACACCACTGTCCAGCTCTCTACAGCATAGTCTTTAAACATATTACCACTTGACCTTTTGTTAAGAGGATGGGGGGGCTACACAAAATGATGGGGCCAATGTTAAACTACTTAAATTCACTCAAAGGATTAGAGAAATAATGACCTATTGATTTAAGTAGATGAACAAGTAGTGGACATAATATTATTGTATGCATTTAATGTGAGATGTTTAAACGTTGTATTTGTAATCTAAATCAGCTTCAAAGTAACTAGTGCTGTCAATAAATGTAGTGGAGTAAAAAGTCCAATTTAGTGGTGTGTAGAAAAAGGGAATATTCAGTACTTGAATAAAGTACCTCATTCATTAAAAGTGCACATAAGCACAGATCTTAAATATATACTTGTCTACTAATGGATATTAAAGAATCTAAAGTATACTTTTCTAGTATTCTGGCAAATCCTAAGCGTGGAAATATGGAAATGGCATATTCACAGACATTTGTAGTGTTTTCTGATGAAAGCAGCAGGGTTTTTAATTAATATGTTGCATCGTATTTGCAATTTGAAGCTCTGCAACACAGAGGTAAAGATCAGTCTCATAGGAAGTATTCAAACCTGCCAATTCATCCATAACAGGAACATTTAAGTACCTGCAGTTCAAACAGCAGGTGAAACACATAATGACTAGGGATGCACGATAATTATCGGGCCGATAATTATCGGTCCGATATTAGGAATTATGACGTCATCCCGATAAACCCGATACCAGTATTAATAGCCCCGATAATATACAATATATTTTTGGGGTACAAAAAAAGAAAAAATACTGCGGTGTGGGTGGATTAGGATGAGGGGCGCTTGTTTTTCACTCGGCTCCTCCCGTTTTGCCAGTACTGTGGTATTAGTGGTTTAGGAAGAGGGGAGTTTTTCACAAATCCAGCGCTCCCTAACTCGTGAAGCCAGGACAGTAAACAAACATGTCGTCGGTGGTATGGGCGTTGGAGCTATGTGCAACTCAAGGCATATGCTCGAACCGGAGCTGCCTGGACGCTGCAATCATGTTGCGCACTATCCGTGCTGAGTGTGCTGACTTTTCGTACAATGTCCCACTGTCTGGCTTCCTGCATAAAGTCAAGTGAAATGTCGCTCCTCTGTTTTCATTTAAACAGCTCCGTATATCCGTTAGCGCAGCTAGCTAGCACCAGATGCTAACAACAACAATGCACGTAAGGTCTCTCTCTCGCTCGCTCGGGCCACACATACACACACCCTCCAGATGGCCAGTCGGTGCCTGCCGGTGAGCGTGGAAGTGTGGTCTGCCACAAGCTGACGGCAGGAGCGGGGCTGTCAGCATCAGCTTGTAGATGGTATTTTAAACTCGATACGCTCTGAAACTACGGGGCAGCCGAGGAAAAAAAATACACATGCGTTAATCGCGTTAAAATAATTAGTGGCATTAAAAAAATGTGGTATCGGTCTTGAGAAGCAGGAAGTTATCGGTATCGGTTTCAAAAAACCAATATCGTGCATCCCTAATAATGACCCACCCTTTCTCGTAAGATTTGTATTTCTTTCTTAGTGGAGGCTGCCCTTAAATTCATTGTGAGTGAGACCCCGGCGGCGATGATGCTCCTCAGGACATCTTTGTACTTTATAGTGGTAGTCGTGGTTATTTAGCTTTTCTGGGAGTCAACATTATTTATTTCTGTTATTATTCAGTTCTCTGAAGAAACTAGTAGAAACTATGTCCTGTACTGTTCTCAAATAATATGATTACTGAGTCTTTTTTAAATAACAAAAAAGGACAGCGATTTAGATCTGTTTTGAGATTGGCAGAGAAACTCCATCTGGAGGGAACACAGGGATTCTTCATTTACATTTTGATTACGATTATGGCTTGCA